GCCATAGTAGCCATAGTAGCCCAATACCATGAATAACCAATAACTAATAAAGAATGATTTCAGAGGCCTCTAAAAATGGTCCTTCGAGCTGGATCCATCCCGCGGGACTGAGATATGCAAATCTAGTGTGTAAAATTCACGCAGAGCTAAGAAATGTCAATGAGAGGGTGTTGAAACATGAAAGTGCTCCGTTCAGCTGCTTGTCACATTTCGACAGTGAAAATGCGTTCATCGTGACGTCGCTTTGACATCTGTGAGACACGCAGAGAGGATCCTCATGTCTTCTTTCATGTTATCTCTTCATGGGATTTCTTCAGTCAAATTACCTCGCGTTATCTCCAGACATGTGTTTGACATTACTACAAAGAACATGTTGAAGAGTAATGTAATGATCTTACACACTGTACAATATTTGTATTTGTTTTTTGAGGGTTGCCAGAGAATCTAAAATGCCACAGTATTATTTTTTCTTTTAAATTTGTTGGCTTTTCAGGCAAGGGAAGTTTATTTGCATAGCACTGCTCATACACAAGGAAACTCAAAGTGCAGACACAAAGAAGAGTGAAGATAAAATTCTTCAGTTGTATGCACAGCTAAGAACTGTTTTTAACATTTGAACATTGTCAGAGAAGAAGCCTGTTTTACATTTTCTGGAAGACTGTTCCAGATTTAAGTTGCATATATAAAGCTGCCTTCCCATGTTTAGTCCTGACTCTGGGCACCAGCAGGAGGTCAGTCCCTGTGCTCCTCAGAGTTCTTCTTGGTTCATATGGCACTAATGAGGCTATGGAGAGACTTGTAACAAACAGAGCTTCTTTAAAGACTATTCTCTGAGCCACAGGAACCAGAGACCTGAGACCAGGACTATTTTGATGGTACTTCCTGGTTCTAGTCAGGACTCGAGCTGCAAACAAACATACACACATTACTACAACCTTCAGTGACATATTAGACGTGTGGTTGTTGATCTTCAGCTGCTCCTGCAGTAACACAAATGAAGCTGAATGCGCAGGTTCAGACTGAAAGACCGAGTGCCTGCCAGCCTCGAGCCTCAGCCAATCACACAGCCAGGCCAGCCTCCTGCCAACCCTCTCACAGCAAAGTGGGCAGTTTAAAAGGCAGCCACTTCCTGACAAACAACGCTTCCTGAGGCTCTTAACACTAGGACCGCCGTGCTCTAAACATACCTTGCACCGCCCCCTGCGGTCAGTTGACCGCTATGTATTTTGCGCTGATACAGCCTTTTGCCAAATTGATTGTTCACTAAACCAGAACTTGATGTTGCAAAGGAATCGTGATCATAATGAAACTGTGTAAATTATTTGTCTAAATATGATAAGTAATTGTAATTCTAGCCAAAATAAAAGACTAAGACGACACATTGTGCGTGTACTGATCCATCAAAATTACGATGACTTTTCAGGCTGGATTTATTTTGTAACTTTGCAAACACCTAAAAGGTCGGTCACTATATGTTATATTTGACTCAATAACAATATGTAAATTCAAACAATATAAATGATAGTTTAGAAAAGCACGGGACCATAACGTCTTCGCGCTGCTATATGCGTCTACTTCTTACGTCATCTCCAGACTGTTTTCTTTTTAGAGGCCGAAATCACCGTGGGAAATATTATCTAGATAATAATAATATTCGTATTGACACAAGATCATCAGCTAGGCTACCATCGCCAATGTACAATCTTCAATTTTACACGCGTCACGTTAGAAAGACAAATATATGTATATATATATATTTGTATTTATTTGAGACAAGCAGTGCTCTTTATGCTCAGAACAACATTATAATCATTGCCTTGCAGTGCGCGCTGTGCAGAATAACAAACAGTGTTATCTGAATGAAATAAGAAAGATATCCTTATTGATATGATGAGGGCCGCTTCATGCCCCACAGTCGCTCTCCTCCTGCAGGTGTCCGCGGGTGACGAGAGGCCTCACAGCGCTCTCTCTGCACTCTGGTTTGATAGTTCATCTAATTGTTCTATTTTATTGCGATATTGTATTCTGCTGTATTGCCTTCTTGTATGTATAAATATAAGAATGTAATTGATGATGAATGAAAAGGCAGAATGGAGCGACAGCGCGCACACAGACACCTGCGTATGGCTGGCATTACGCGGGTCATGTGCGTTATTGCTTCTGGACTTGTTACAACACTGCTGTCCGTGCCGTGAATGCACTATGGGTTTACGTTCAGATTTAGAATATTATAGGTGTTCTCCCCGCTGTCACTTTCTACCTCAAAATGTGACATCTCTCACCTCCGTCAGACTGTTCTCATTCAATGTCTTGAAGCACTGTCAGGGCTTCATACCGTGTACTTGCAGCTCTATTCATTTTGTACTCCTCTCTCTCTCCCAAATAATAATAAAAAAGTCCCTTTAGAGTCTAATGACAACATATTGATACATTTTTATAAGGCGCGAAAAACCCCCGGGAAAGGTTACTATGACAACAGTCGCCCCTGCGCCATGTATCTCCATGGGGAAGCAGAAAGGGCTGTGGTTTAGAAAAGTTAAAATGCGTGTAAATCTTGTTTTCTTTACTTTTTCCAAAACCAAAACACACAAAAATATAAACAACAAGTACCTAGTAAAAGTCATAAAATTTCAACTTCTGGCGTTTGGTTTTGAATACACTAATTAGCATATTAAAGTGAGTGACGGTCAGTTGACCGCTAGGGGCGCTCCTAGTGTTAAACACCCACCACCTCCCCAGCACCCCCTCTGGCTCTTGGCTCCCGCTCTGGCTCCTGCTCCGCCTACGCTCCATTCACACCATACTCTAGCTACCACCAGTAATTGACCCCGGGGGATCTGAGATCATCTTCAGCTGCAATCGATCTCATTGCTGCAAGTGTCACTGCCGGGGTCAATGCGCCAAACAAATAAATCATTTTAATGTATTAATTGTGTCTTTGGTCTCTTCAGATTGAAGACTAATAAGGCTTTTACAACTGTTCTCCTTCAAAACAATGCATTACCCATTCACAGGTTTGCGGACCTTTGCTCGATGTAACAGTACAAGACCTACAGGGAGCTGCCGGGAACAAACAAGCAAGTAGTTTGGTATGAGGCGTGCATACAGTAAGTCACCTGCCAGGAGCTGTGTGCATCTGTAAATATCTCTGTAGTTAGTACTGTCACACTCTGCTTTGGCTTAAGGAGCACAGACGTTAATGTGCTAAATATATTCATAATAGGACACAAGCAAAAGCACATGTTGTTGTTCCTCCATCAAAAACATCCATCCATCCATCCTGGAGAAAATGCAGCCTGAGGACCCCATTCACATGTCCATACCCCTTATGGACCAATACCAACGAGTTTTGTGTTTTAATTCTTTTTTGATTCTCTAATCTGTGTTGGCGAATTTAAGGGTTGTGTAAAGTCCTCTGAGATAACTACTGTTGTGATTTAGGGCTATACAAGAATACATTGAATTGAATTGAAGTCTATGCGGCCCATAAGTCAACAAAAAAGATAAAATATGAGGTCATAGTTTGGTAACTAAATTCTCTCTCGGGTCTCTCTCGGGTCTCTCTCGGGTCTCTCTCGGGTCTCTCTCGGGTCTCTCTCGGGTCTCTCTCGGGTCTCTCTCGGGTCTCTCTCGGGTCTCTCTCGGGTCTCTCTCGGGTCTCTCTCTGGTCTCTCTCTGGTCTCTCTCTGGTCTCTCTCTGGTCTCTCTCTGTAGTTTCTCTCATTTTAGTATAGCATTATTGTTCATTTATATTTTGCCGTGTGCTGCTTATTCCCACTGTTCTGTAAGTGGTGATACAACACTGACATTTCTTCATCTTAATAAGTATTGGATGTTGTCAGCTAAATAAAACCATTCCAAAGTGCATCCGTGAGTCTTCAAACCACCGACAGTGAGTCGAGGACACCAGGACAGCAGTCTCTCTGGTACATTCCTGTGTTTTGTCTGAAGACGTGTCCTTTTAGCGATGACAGCGCTTGTTTTACTTCAGGCGTAATGAGCTCAGTGCAGCGGCAGACATGAGCTGACAGAGCACTCCACTCTCAGGGGCCAACGAGCTCCTTAATCACAGATAAGAGCCGATACTGGACCAGAGCACGTCTCCTGCTGCCGTCTCGTCGTCGACGCAAATGGAAGCCAATGCATGGTGATGGATGTTCACAATCGAGTGAAGTACACAGAGAGAGGGAGTAAGAAAGGATCATGTAGGTGCTACTATGGTAAAAGTGTAGCAAAATTGTATGGACTAAAAGTTTTAAACACTTTTCTTTTCTGGTTTTTCTCAAGTCTCACTCTCTAGTCTCTCTCATGTCTTTTTCCCGTTTTTCTCCAGTTTTTCTCATGCCACTCTCAGGTCTCTCCCAGACAAGAGAGAGAGACCGGAGAGAGAGAGAGACCAGAGAGAGAGACCAGAGAGAGAGAGAGAGAGAGAGACCAGAAAGAGAGAAACTAAGAAAGATAAGAGAGAGAAAAAATAGCTAAAAACCATATCCAGGAGTGATTTTCTGAGAGAACAATGTTGTATAATAATAATATAATCAAATCCACTTTTTTTTGCTGATAAACGGTATAAATGAGTGTCCAATAGTGTTGTCTACATATCCTGGTCATAATCTTGTCACTTTGGTGCAAATTAGTTGAAAGTTAGACTTTCTGCCTAAAACCGTCTGTGAGGCGCCATCTGCTGGCGACCTGTATTACTACATTTGAATTTTGAATCTGGCGCCAACACTGGCACAGAAGTTGGACCTGACGTCTGCAAGTTGGACCTGACGTCAGCAGCCCCCCGCCCAGAGCAATGTAAACGGCCCAGTCTCGTTCACGCCCCCTTTAGTCCTCCAGGCTACGCCCATTTAGAAGAAGATTTGAACAGGAAATGTGAGTAACGTAAGCTCAGAGGAGCGTGGGTGAGAACCACTTTAACAGAACTCCAAGTCGTTTATTCAGTCGTCGTGGAGACACTGAGGACGTTGCTCATGAGTAAACATTTCTCAGGATGGATGCAGAGCAGAGGTGCAGATTTTGAGGTAACTCAACGTGAACCGCCGGGAGGCAAACCACATTTCTCCAACCTCCAGTTCACCTCCTCTCACTCAAATCCTGTTAGCCTGCGATGAGAGAAAAAAGCACACCGCGCCAATGCCACAAATAGCTACAAAACAAGCAAAGTAACCCAATCTAACACAAATACTGCGTTTTATCAACTGACAGGAGAGGGGGAATGAGATCAGGCTTTTTGTTTAGAATCGAGGCGTACATACTGGATTTTGTTTGATGAAAAACATAGAATTCGGTAAGTATTGACCCAAGGGGTGACGCATTTCAAGGCAAAGTGAAAGCAAAATTGTAAACAGTGGCCGCTTGTTATTTGTGGGGGTTACCTTATAAAATAAAAACCTGCAAAATATTATACTTGCTTCTTTATAATGCTAAATATAGTGATTTTATTCTGGCTTCTTTATCATGCTAAAGCTAGTGATTTTATACTTCACTCTTCATTACGCTTAAGGATATAGTTAGAGATTTCTTCACCTTAACCTAGGTCAGCAGCAGCAGAGGAGATGAAGACGGTGACACTAGAATTTGCAGTCAGGTCCTGCTGGTTCTGTTCTGTTTATGCACAGATCTGATGCTGCTGCTTTAAATAAGCAGCTGTCAGGTCGCTTTTGCCAGAAAAACAAAACATCACAGAGATCACAAGTGACAGGAAGTGAGTGAAGGGAGCCCAAAGTGTGTTTACTGCTGTCCAAGAGATGTGCACACGCACACACACACATACACACACACACACACACACACACACACCTGTCTGAAGGGGCTAAAGAGTATTGTCACAGGAAAACAATATAACATAGCTGCATAATTTGATCCTTTGTGCTTTTGAGCGCACCAGTTTATTTTCTGCATCAATTACATTGTAATAGAAAACAAACTTAGTACAGATATAGAAGATTCCATTTATTTGCCGTTAGCAGTAAAACCACATTGGAATACATGTGCAAGAGTCCGCAATGTGCACTATTTAGGGCTGTACTAAAAAGTACAAGAAACTATCATCACCGTGAGACCAATTAATAAAACTGTTTCAATACAAGTGAAGATCATTCAAGTGCTTGGTTCAGACTGATAACAACTAAAAGAAGCTGTTGGCATGTCCAGATGTCATGCATCTTCTGCCAAAGGGAAGAAGCTGGAACATGGCTTTTCCAGGAGCCAGAAGGGTCATTGATTATTCTACGAGTCTGGCTCAAGCACCGGGGATCGAAGATGGCGCCCTATTCAAATGAATGGTTTCTTTCAGTGGCGCTTTGTGACGGCATGGGGGCTGAAAGATTAGCGGAAGTCGCCTGGAACTCGCAAAGATCTATGGGAAACTCGCCTGTATTTGGGCATTGTCTGGTCCTCCCGGTTCTTCGCAGTGGATGATCTCCCATTATGCGTTGCGCCAAACACGGGGTCTCACGCACGTGCACAGAGGGGCTCGGCCGCGCTCGACCAATCAGAGCAGTTCATCAGAGCGGGAGTCAGAGCGAGAGCCAGACGAGCAGAGTTTGTGGCACTAAGAGACACTAAAATCCCCACAAAATCCGACCTTTATGAAAGCTGTAGGTTCTCTGTCAGCTGAGGTCGAGCTGTTTTAGTTTACATTGAATTCTATGGGCAAAATTTCTGGGTAGCCCACGTGAATTTAGTCTGGTCTAGTCTGCAGTACCGCGAGAATCCCCGAGCACATGAGTTCTTCAGCTCCAAGCTAATACCATATCCAGTTATTATAATAGATCCATGGTAAAGTGTGATGAAACTACAAAGCCCAGTGATTCATAAACTTTGTGTTAAATCACCCCTTACACTTAAAATAATAAATAATCTGATTCTGTGGAATGTCAACAATAGTAGCTGGAGCCGCCAAGTGAAAGAGTGTCTATGACTAAAACCCTTTTTTAAACTTGGCCTCTGGTAATTTGGTTTGATGATGAAACCTGAAACCACGTCTCCTCCTCTCTCCTATCGACGTAACCCACCGTCAGCAATAATTAGTAATAATTGCTTGAAATGAATTGTTTTTTTTTATCCGAGTCTGAGCACATTCTGACTGTGTTAAAACCAGATTCTCCAATGGGACAAAGCCATTTAGTCTTATTGCTAGAATTGTTGCTTTATGACCTCATTCCAAGGGAGACATTTCCTTTCTTTGTATTATTATTGTATTTTGCTTTATCCCATTGGTAAATCTTTTTCAAAGCAGTCAGAATGTACTCAGCAATTTTTTGCAGTAGCTGTTCGAGTGGATTCCAAAAATGTATCAAGATATAAGATTCAGTTATTTGCTGTTTTGCAGTAAACAAGGAATACTTGTGCTAAAGTCCCCACTGGGCACCAGACAAGTGCATACGGACATAAAACAAGCTAAACAAGTAACAATAGTCACTGAGAAGCCATGCAACTAATCAGGCCTTGTTTTTTAATGCAAAACTAACTACACAATCACACACTAACACAATACAATGATATCCTCACACTGTTACAAACATCGATAACTAAATATCCAAACTTTTTGGAAAGATTAATATGAAGGGATCCTTATTCATTCCACAGTGGGGAAATGTCAATGTTGCATCAGCAGTTACAGAGCAGTAGGAATGAGGAGCACACAGCAGAAGAGAAATGAACGACTCTATACTAAAATGAAATAAAATCTCTAGCTTTAGCATAATAATTGTGGTCTACAGTTTTACTCGTGCACCACACCTCTGCGTGTCTGAACCAGATCCGGCACCTTCAGAGTTGGATCCCGCACCTTTGAAGGTGTGCGTGAGATCAATAATTGCACGGCTCCTCGCAGCAGCAGTAGAACGCTCCATTGATTTGAATGTAATTCCAAAATGTTCTACCGGTCATTATTTCTTGATAACGGACCTCTCACCCGCACCCTCTGCTTGTAATTCAGATGTGTAGATTACTCCGCAGGTAGTTCCGGACACTCCGGAGCTGGCCACGCTCAATAAACAAAAATACCAATCAATCCACACTATTAAATGTTACATTACACATATACATTCTTCACACATGTGCACGGAGGATTTCAGAATTTTCTGTGAGCGTTTTCATGACAAAAATACTGTTTTAATTCGAGAAAAAGCGATTGCGAAAAGAAGATTACGGGACATTTAAGGAACATTTGCAGAGGATCGAATTATGGATTTAGGTTAGGTTTATGTTTGGGTCACTCACCGCTGATGTTTTCATGCAGTTTTGTGCAGCAACAACACATTTGCTACTGGCTCTAATTTGCTCAGCAACAACTATAGATGTAGTAAAAGTGATGAAAAATAATTCTCTCTCTTTATATATATATATATTTATTTATTTATTTATATATATTTGTTATTTATTTATATATATTTGTATACAGATATTTAGAGCAATTTATATATATATATATATATATATATATATATATATATATATATATATAAATTGCTCTAAATATCTGTATACAAATACTGTATCTCTCTAATACGTATCTACTGTATCTCTGTGTGTATGAATGTGTGCGTGTGCGTCCTACATTGTGTCTGTGTGTGTCTGAATGCTTGAGGCACGTGTTTTGTTATGAATGAATGGTTGAAGGAAGGATTTCCTCACTTGTTGTTGTAACTATCTTTAGCTCTATTGGTGTTGCCTTATTCTCTTGCGTCACTGATTTTGAATCACTAGACTTTCCTTTTTTTGAATTTCTTTAGAGCTTTGGAGTCATCCAGAACTCCTCCCCTTGTAAATACTTTGATAATGGGTTCGGGCACAGGATCAAACTTCACGCGGCGTATGAGGAAAGTTGTGGCTTAAAATAGATATGATGTCACACAGAGAGAAATCCTTGTGACATCGCAGCTAAATATAAGAAGGAGTCCCCAGAGTCAGCACCAAACGGAATCCTCTCAATCTAAACATGACCTGTACTAGTACTGCCACTGCTGCTGCTGTCGCTGCTCTGATGGTGAGTACACACACACACACACACACACACACACATACACACACACACGTGCAGTAAATGTTTTGAAATACTATAAAGGATCTCTCAAATTTATCTTAATCTTAGACACACACACATAGACAGCACATGCAAAATACACACGCATACAAACACACACACATATAGAGATTACACACACACACAATACATGGACAACACAGACACATGCATGTTGTGAATGTTTGATGATAAAATCCACCAGCTGGGGGTTATCTATACTGCAAAAAATGATAAAAAATTGAGGTAATAATTGCCAAATTTGAACCTTTTTTAAATGTATTTTTAATGACTTTTTGCAGTGTATAATTTTGCAATATATATAAAACATTTGAGACTGAGGTAACATTAAAGCTGGGGTACTGAAGTGCGTGAACAACAATACCTTTTAAATCGAAAAAATCGAAAAAGTGTTATTCCCTAAAACAAGAGTTGTTTATCGTTCTATTTCTCATCAGGGCTTAAGGACTCACTCTTTTCATTTTATGTGTCTTTATTACGAGTTTATTTCATGTCATTTTGATGTCCAATGTTAGTGGTTCTATCTATAACTAAAATTGAATGATGAACGAATTATAACTAAAACTAAAATAATCTTCAGTTGATTTCTGCGGCAGTGGAACGGTTCTTCTGGACTGGTCTTGGAATCGAGCGCTTTCTGACTCTTAAAACAAGATTTGCCAATGGGTCAAGCCATTTATAACAATGCATTGGTTTTATACAGCACTTTTCGGGACACTCTGAGACGCTTCACATGTCATTCATTCCCTCCAAACACAGCGGTGATAAACTACTGTTGTAGCCGCAGCTGCCTGTGTTAAGGCAGTCAGAATGGGCTCAAATTAAGCCAAAACTGTGCATTTTTAGACTTATTTTCATCACTTTGTGCAGTAGAAACTCAGATATTAACCACGGAAACTAGTTAAAGACTTTTTAGATCAAATATTGATACTAAAAGAATATGGAAACAGGATTTGACTTTTCCAAACAATCAGAAGCATTTTGATTTTCTATTATTAGTAAGTAAGTAAGTAAGTAAGTAAGTAAGTAAGCTTTATTTATACAGCGCCTTTCACAGACCAAGGCCACAAAGCGCTTCACAGTTAAAACAAACAAAAAACAATTTAAAATGTGCGTACAAAAAGACACATATAATGGCCAAGACAACTCAGTGACAGGTTTGAAACATCCGCAAGAAAATTATGTAAATGCTTGCCCAAATAAATAAGTTTTTAGCTGACCTTTGAATGAATCAACCGCATCAGTCGCAGAGAGAGCGGAAGATTGTTGCAGAGCTTAGGCGCAACAGCCTGGAAGGACCGGTCTCCCCTGGTCCGAAAGCGCGTGCGTGGGACCATCAACAGGTTGATTGTCTGACCCTGATTGCTGTTTAGTGTTTTGACTGATACGTTTAGCCAAATCTGAGTAATTTTAAACTTATTTTTCACCCGTTTTTGCTGTGTTCCATTATAATCATGATCATTATTACTATCAGGATTAACGTGGTGCTTGTGTGTTCCAGAGCTGTATCCTGGGCCTGGTCTGTGCCCTCCCGGTGCACCCGGAGGTCTGTGATCGTGGGTGTCATCCAACGACAACACAGCAGCGCCACCTGCAGTTCAGTCACGTCCTGGAGTTGCAGAACAAGTCCATCGCCCCATGGACTCTCAAGTGAGTGACCAGTTCACCCCCAGTATCTGCCCCCACTCAGACACAGAGCATAGAAGCTAATAAAATAAAATAAAATAATTTCTTGAATTGAGAGGTTTTTATCTTAATTTGAGTTTGAGTACATTCTGACTTTCATACGTCCCTTATGGACCAATGGCTCTATGTTGGTTTGTTTGATTCTCTGATTTGTCTTCACGAAATCAACAGTTTTGTAAAGTCCTGCAAGATAACTACTGTTTTGATTTAGGGCTATACACAAACAAATTAAATTGATTGAGTCTATAATTTAACATAAGCCTCGTTTCAACCAGCCCGATTTGGCCTTACTCTACTTTAATCTACCCCCGCCATGTTTAACTGGTACCACATGCTTTTTTACTCTGGTTTTCTGGTACTGAAGTGTTCTAACTGACAGTGATTGGCCAGAGTACTGCTGAAAGCCATGGCTACCCAGGAATGTCCGAAGTCATACTGGGTTTGATGTGTGTTTGTGGCTAGGATAACGCTACAAGATACTAAAGCATAAAAGAAACACAAACGAGTAGAGTAGAGCAGAGTAGAGTAGAGTAGAGTAGAGCCGAGTAGGGCTGGTGGAAACAGGGCTATTGCTAGTGACTATGATAACTGTCTGTGTTTGAAGTGAATAGAAATGACAACATAAAAAGTGTTTAAAAAAATACAGTTTTAACGGCCACGGAACTGCGGAATTGCTCAAATTGGGCAAAATGTATCTACGAATTTGCCAAAGATTTGCCAACGGGAAAAAGCCATTGAGTCTTATTTCAAAAACTGTTGCTTTATTTTCTCATTCCAAGGGAGACATTTCTTGAAAGACAGTCAAAATGAACTCAAATTTAAGTTAAAACCAGTTGATGCAAGCAATTATTAAATTTTCATTATTATTATCATTATTTTCAGTGTGTGTATTTTTTCTATTTTTCTGCAGGCCAAGTCACTTCGACAAACACATCCAGGAGGCGTACTGTCACGAGTGTCTGGATCCCTGTCTGAAGTCTGAGGCCATCCAGGTCCAAGTGTACTTTACCCAGCCTAAGAGGAACCTCACCACCGGCTCCGTCACCTACTGCCTATGCACCTACAAGCTAGCTGTGGGCTGCACCTGTGTCCGCAGGAGCGCCGCGGAAATGTCATCCAGAAGTTGTACCTTCAGGTCTCAAGAGTCGAGTTAGCCCGATGAGGAGGAGTCTGGGGGAAGCTGTATAGATTTACAATGATCCTCTACCCAACCTATGTAATCGTATCCATCTGTGTCAATGCTTTCCGGATCTATGACTCTCTGCTCTGTATCTGCGCTGAGTCGATCATCGCCCCTGACTCACCTGAGAACGGGCTCCTGTTTTGGGTCCACAGAAAACAGAGAAATTGAGGCTTACGTTCTGGAGCCCGCCTGTCCTCAATCATTCCTGGCCACAGAGAAAGCTTGTAGTGTCTGTGTAAGATAAGATGGACTTTATCGATCTCACAAAAGTGGCAACAAAAGAAAGATTGGCAATCGTGGCAAGTAGGATGTCTGTCTTCTGAGATGGGTCGTCTTGCCTCCTCAACAGCCCTCATTATTTGTGGGTTGTCGCAAGGGTCTATGTTAGGTCAAAATGTTTTTCCCCTTGGACACATTATTGCCCAAAATAAAAAGTCCTTCCACTGCTACTGCTACTGTACTGATATTACTGGACGTTTAATCCCCCTCCCGTGCGGTGACTTAGCCTCACAATAACTAAACACACCGCATTAAGCTAACTGTTCAGCGTTGCTACTTTTCAGACCTGACAATATAATTTTTTCCAATAATGAAAGTCGCGTTTCAATAAGAATTTGTGGAGCCTAGTTTGACACGACTAACCTCAGTAACTTCAAACTAGTTTTCAAACCCCCTTCTTGTCCAAAACCTGAATCCTAAAGGCATCCTGAAACAAATCTGGACCAAACCAATGATGCTGTGGACTGGGTTGAACAATGTTTACTTTTATGTGTTACTTATTGCATTCAGGGTTCAATGTTTATGGTTATATAAATGCTATGGATGTGTTTTTTGTTTACGTCTAAGGGGCCACACAATGTCTCGAGACAAACATTGGAAACTTATGATGTTAATGTCTCATCAAAAACAACTAGGGAACGAGGGAAATGGCACATGTTTCTCTACTTCCTATTTCTCAATCTCGTAGTCTTGACATTTGCAGCAGTAGATAAGCACCTGGAGTGATAGACGAGGCCCTTAGTGCAAACTTATAGTGCGCTGGTCCACTGAACTTTTTTATGTTCCTTTTTGTTTCTTTTTTATTAGATGATTTTTTATTTTGGAAATGTTGAGTTGCATTCATTCAAATTTAAAGGCAGCCATTTTTGCTCGCTTAATAACCACACTTCGAAGGTGCTGGTTCTGGACTGGTCTTGAACTGACTCTGGTTCAGAGTTTTCCTCCAGAGAAATCTGAGAACATTCTGACTGTCTTTAAACATTTGCCAACGGGACAAAGCCATTTGGTCAGTTAGTTTCTTTCTTCTTCATTAAAAGGAAAACATTTCTATTATCTTTTTAAAACAGGATCATTTGGCTTTGTCCCATTGGCAAATATTTTTGACTTATTTTTGCACAAGAAACACACAGATTAGCAGTTAGCATTAGCTTTTCAACAAACTGTTTTTCTTGTAATTCATCCTGAAGATTGTGAAAAATTATCAAAATACTTACTTTTTTTGGAGGAATTTCTCCACATTCCATTGATTAAAATGTATAAAAGTAATGTGATGACTCCAACCATTTCAACCATTGTTTATCCACACAGGATGACACTCGTCAGAAAAGTATTTGTTTACACATGAATTTCTTTTTGTATTTGTGCTAAATTATGTACTTTTTTAAATTATGTAATTTAGTTCTTTTTGAGGTTAACTTTTATGGTGGTGCCTTTAAATAGGGATTGTCACATGTTGTGAATCGTTTTTGAAAAGCTGTTAAATAAAAACTTTTGCACTTTAAATGAATGTGTTTGTTGTTTTTGACCTATACTTTCTATGCATCTCATTCTAGCTTCACTTAAAGCTGGGATACCTAACTACACATGTAATTGTATCTTGCTATCTCTCGTTTTCACGTAAGATAAGTAAAGATAAGATGTACTTTATTAATCTCACAAAGGAGAAATTTACACGTCAAGTTTGGCATGGATAGAAACACTAAAAATTGTGCAAAAAGTAAGAATGTGCAAACAGGACATATTATGAACAAAAAGTGGCAATAAGAAGAAGTGTCAATAGTAGTGCAGGTTTTTTCAGTCTTAATGCAGTGACTTAAAGTGACTTATTGTACAGTCTGACAGCGGTGGGGATAAAGGTCCTGCGGTAGCGCTCCTTACACTGAGGGTGCCTCAGTCTTCCACTGAAGGAGCTCCTCAGCTCCTCTACAGTCCTGTGCAGTGGGAGGTATTGTCCATGATGGAGGTGACTTTGACTAGCACCCTCCTGTCCCTCACCTCCTCCACAGAGTCCAGGGGACAGCCCAGAGTGGAGCTGGCCCTCCTGACCAGTTCAGTCTGCTCCTGTCCCGCTCTGTGCTGCCCGGGGCCCAGCACACGGCAGCGTTGAGGCTACCACAGAGTCAGAAGGAAGAGGCGACTTTGGCCCTTCTTGTGCAGAGCGTTAGTGTTATGGGACCAGTCCAGTTTATTGTTAATGTGAACACCCAGGTACTTGAAGCTGTCCACCATGCTCAATGTCCTCCCCCTGGATGTTCAGGGGCGTGTGGGAAATAGGGTTGCCAACTTGAGAACAAAAAAATAAGGGACACCATTTGGGTGGATCGGTTTGAGCACAGTAATCATGAATTTCATAATCAGTTTTTAGAATGTAATTTATTGACTACATATAAAAAAAAACAACTCCTTAGTCAAAAATGAAATTGAATATTGAGTACTTAATGCATTCTTATTACTAATAAAGAATATAAAAAAGGCAAATGCTGTAACTTACATTACAGTAAAGACCATTTACTGTAAAAGCAAATAAAAAAATAAAAAAATATGTATTTATGAAAAAAACTCACAAATGTTGAAATCAAAGTCTGTAGCAGTTAGACATGGTCATTATTTATATTGCCTGAGAGTTTAGTGCGTGTACATGGCTTCAGTAAACGCTATTGTTAGTTTACAGCTGGTCTGTACATTTGTTGACGCTTCCTTAGTGCTTTTTTCGGCGCTTGCAGTGCATTGGATTCAATGGATTTCTCTGCATTAAAACAGCGCACTGGATTTGAAAAAAACAACGTAGAGATGATCATTTTAGCACAGTGACTTTTTTTTAACAAAGTAGCTTTTGTGAACTATTGACTGCGGAAGTCCGACTCTGGGAATATGACGCTACTTTACCAAACTTCTGCTGTGATGATGCTGCGGGAGCGGCCCACGCTGGCGATTGTCAACATTAAACCAATGTATGTGATCAAGTCTACGCCCCTTTGACACTGATTGGCCGAAAGGTAGACGCTTAAACTGTGATTACTTTGTGTGCGTGTGTCAAGCGTATACAGTCTATGGTCGCGCGTGTGACATGCAGTGAGTGAGTGATGCATTCAAGGTGGCTCTGAAAATACGGGACAAAAGCCGTCCCGTATCGATTCAATACGGGACGCACATAGTGTTTCTATAATACGGGACAATTCCGTATTTCAAGGGACGGTTGGCAACCCTAGTGGGAAAGTGGTTTTCTCCTGAAGTCGATGACCACCTCCTTGGTCTTACTGGTGTTCAAGCACAAGTGGTTGTTCTCGCACCAGTCGACAAAGTCCGTGATAACCGACCGATATTCCAGTTCGCTCCCCTCAGACACACAGCCCACGATGGCGGAGTCGGAGAACTTCTGCAGACTACAAATCTGAGGTGTAGATGGTGAAGAGAAACGGTGAGAGGACAATGCCCTGAAGAGACTTTTGTTCAAATGTATTTCCGTAGGGATTCCCGAACTGCAAAGACAAATGTTAAATCTGCAGCAATATTTATCATTGTAAAATCCCTCCCCTCTGATGTATCGTATCTGTAGTGTTGTCTTTTTTTGCTGCGCACTGCCCCCTGCTGTCCATGAGGCGATATAACATCTGCAGCTTATTGTAATTACATGTTTAGGCCACTAGGGCGCACTGTTGGACCACGCAGATCACGCATGCCAGGTTCTATTACAGGAGGAGATACGGATTTGGTTGAATGAGTTATATGTTTTATGCTTTTTCACGTTTCAGTGTGCATCTGGATGACCACATGTCTATGTATCATTCATATAAGTGTGACATGGTTAACTGTGCTTCTAAGTTCATTAGTACAAGTGTGACATGGCTATTAATACGAAAAATGTTACGATTGCAGAGTAGGAACCCCAAAGCGGAGACGGAAGCAGGGAAGGTTAAACAGTTTAATATAAACAAAAACTCAAGAGGCTGAGGCGACGGGGGCAGGCTGGCAGCAGGACGGAGCAGAAAGAATCCAGAGCACAGCGGTGGCAACCTTGGGCACAGGAGGAGAAAAGGTAAGTATCTCAAAACTGATTGCAGGAACCAAAACACAGGTCTGACGTCTACCGGATGAGACGGAATAATCTGACAGTGTGGAGAGGACCGAGCAGAGACTTAGTAGACTGGCTCCTCGTCAAGTCCAGGTGTGCCTAATTGCTGCCAGTGCCAGCCACGCCCCCGTCAACCACCAGCTCTGCACAGAGAGAAAAAAAACACAAAGAGGAGGGGAACAAAACAAACCCTAACAGGGCCCCCCCCTCAAGGGACGCCCCCTGGCGGATGGTATCCGGAAGACAGACTGGCTGTAGCCCCCACAGCGCGACAGAAGGCCTTCCAAACCTGAGAGGAGAACTGTGGGCCTCGGTCTGACACAATATCCTGTGGTATGCCATGGAGCTTGAAGACATGTTGCACAAGCAGATTCGCAGTTTCAAAGGCAGAGGGCAACTTCGGTAGTGAAACAAAATGTACACACTTAGAAAACCGATCTACAATGGTCAAGATGACTGAGTTACCTTCAGATGGGGGAAGGCCAGTTACGAAATCCACAGCGATGTGGGACCAGGGACGATGTGGAATTGGGAGTGGACGAAGCAGACCAGCAGGGGCACGATGGGAAGCTTTACTGCGGGCACAAACTGAGCACGCGGAAACAAACTCCTTGGTGTCA